TTAATCATGATTTTCTTAAAAAGAAAAACCATCCAAGTCAATATAACTTTTATTATCAGATAATCCAACACTTCAAATTTAAGGCAAAAATCAATTTAATATGAGAAGGGATCAATTTAAGCTGGACCAAGATTTAAATTTTCAAGTTATTAAATCATTTTATATAAAATATGTTTATTATCGATCACTGTTGAATTATAATGAATTATTCATTTTTTTTGGTAAACTGAATTATTATTTTAATTGTTTTATTAAATACTACAAAAGATAAATAACAAAATAAAAATATATGTAAATAGCTCTTACTTATATGGGAAAACAACTTCTCCTTTCAAAGGAGAATAGCCATCTTATGTTATAGACACAGTTGTTGCGGGTCCCATTTGTTTTTTTGCAAAAAAAAAAAAAAAAAAGACTCAGTACAAGGACCGATGTGAGAGCTGCAAAAGTTTTTTGGTTGCAGTGAAATGAGAGGTATAAACCCCTACTTATATATATATATATATATATATATATATATATATATATATATATATATATATATATACACACATATGAGGGGGATATTTTGACTACCAAAAATGTCCACTACCACCTTACTACCTATCAAATCACCATTGCATCAAAGAGAAAGAAAATGTTAATTCAATGGTGATTAGATAGGTAGTAAGGTGGTAGTAGAAACTTTTGGTAGTCAAAATATCCTCCCTCTATATATATATATCATAGTTCAGCCTGAGTATCAGATTTATCATAAGTTCAATGCCATCAGGTCTGAGTTTTGACTTATGTATACGGTCTGGGTTTGATCCAAATGATGGTGATGATATCTGGGAAATACAGAATTTATCAACCCAGAAATGTATTAATACAGTTACATCTTCAATGGAAGTACAAGCATGAAATTGAGATAACTAATGGTAGCCTAGTCAATCCTTATCAAACTCATAAGTGGTAATACCACAAAACTCATAAACAGAAATAGCCTTAATTCAGTGATTAAAAGACAATCTTTATGTTAAAATCCATCATTAATTCTTGGGAGATTGAACAAATTATCAGGCTCTGATAATTTAGGTTTTTTAGGTTTCTGGGTAGAAATAAACTTCAATACGAATGGAAGTGTTATCTACAATCATACATTCATAGACGTTGTTACCATTAAAACTTTTGGGGTTTCTCCAATTATTAATACCAGTTATAGGATTAATTTTAATTTCAGATTTGTTATCTGACTCAGGAGATTAAACCTTCATATACCCGAAAAGAAGAAGAAAATGAACAAAATATTATCCAATCCCCAAAATCTATTCAATCTCCAACCTATTCCTCTATGCTAAATTCTTATGATGTTAGGAATTTTCGTAAGAAATCTAATTACAATAAAAGGTTTAAAAATGAAAATCCTAAGCCAAATACTGAAACAAATAGATCACAAAATACATCCAAACCAATTAAGCCAACTATTTGCTATAGCTGTGGTAAACCTGGTCATATTAGTAAATATTGTAGGCTTAAGAAGAAACTGAATAACCTAAACTTAAATCCATCTATTGAAGAACAAATCAATAATCTTCTAATCCAATCCTCTGATGAAGAATTTGGAAAAGAATCTTCAGAAGATTTAAATCAAATCCATGAAGATGATTTATCTTCTAGTGAGGATTCACAGTCCTCGCAAGAAATTAATGTCCTGACTAAAGAACAAGATCTTTTGTTTGAAGTCATAGATTCAATCAGTGATCCCCAAGAAAAGCGAGCTTACTTAGCAAAGTTAAAATCATCTTTGGAAACCAGTTCTCCTAAATCTAAAGAGTTGTTGGTTCCTAATAAGTTTAATCTTAAAGATACTCTTAAAAAACTAGAAAAGAGTATTACTGTCAAACCTATAACTGTCCAAGATCTTCAGTATGAGATCAATATTCTCAAAACTGAAGTTAAACAAATCAAAGAACAACAACAAACTCATCAAAACATCCTTCTTCAATTACAAAATGAAGAATCAACAGGAACAAGTATGGAAAATACTCTGTCTAAACCTGATGAAGATAAAAATCTTAAAGACGAAGAATTTTTAGGATTAATTAATCAATTAACAATTCAAAAATTCTACATCCCAATCAAACTCAATGTAGGTAACTTTGACCTTGAAATTGAAGCTTTGTTTGACACAAGGGCAGATTCAAACTGCATTCAAGAAGGTCTAATTCCTACTAAATATTTAGAAAAGACTTCTGAACGGCTTAGTACTGCTAGTGGTTCAAAACTTCAGGTTAATTATAATCTTCCTAAAGCAATCGTTGAAAATGATAATTTAAAAGTTGAAACATCGTTTCTCCTTGTTAAAAACCTCAAAAATGGAGTTATTCTTGGAACTCCGTTCATCAAATCTCTTTTTCCTCTAACTATCACAGATGAGGGTATAATTACTTATCATTTGGACAAACCAATTCTTTTTAAATTTCTTAAGAAACCCATCATAAGAGATTTGAATTTTATCCATTACAAACAAAAGCAAATCAATTTCCTTAAAGAAGAAATTTCTTTTAAGAATATTGAAAATCAGTTAAAGCAGCCTGAAGTTCAACAAAAGATCAAAGTTTTGCTTGAACAAATCCAAAATACAATCTGTTCTGATCTTCCGAATGCTTTTTGGCAAAGGAAAAAACATATCGTAGATCTTCCCTATGAAAAGGATTTTAATGAAAGGCAAATCCCAACCAAAGCTCGTCCAATTCAAATGAGTGGTGAACTTCTTGTCTTTTGTCAAAAAGAAATTGCTGATCTCCTTGCTAAAGGTCTCATGGAAGAGCAAGAGTCCTTGGTCATCTCCATCTATCTCTTCTTCAGCAGAAGACTTCTACCAAAATGAGGATGATGTACTTAACTTTGATCCTCATTTTGGTCTATCTCGTCACACTTAATGATGTACTTAATGATGTACAACCAATGGTTAATCTATCTCGTCATCTGTTGAGTCTCTTGATCAGAATGTTGTGGGGTATCAGGAATGGTTAATGTACTTAACTCCTCATCAATTTTCTTATGTTGGACTATGGTTTGATCTCCTCACACTTCCGGAACCCACTGGTATCAGTCTCATACATATATATATATATATATATATATATATATATATATATATATATATATATATATATATATAAGATCCTTTGACACCAGCATCAAATTTTTAATAAGGGAAAAATATATCTCCGGCAACTTGAGATAAGTTTATTTTCGGCTACACCAAAACTACGTCGTTTTGATTATTTATTTCCTTATATTAATTGATTCACTCTTGAATGATTATGATTCTCTTTTTCTCTCTCTTCCTTCATTACCATTGATCCATCTTTGTACGGTTATGATTTAGTAGCCAGAGATAAAATTATCTCCGACAGCTTGAGAAATGATAAGCCCTTCTAATAAATAGTTCTTACTTATATATATATATATATATATATATATATATATATATATAGGGGCAGGATATTCTTACTCTGGTGTAATAATTATAAGTCTTACACTCAATCTTGACCATTGATCCACTTGTATTCAATGGCTCACATTACTAAAAAAATTGATCCCTTAGATATAAGTGGGATTAACGGACAAGATTAAGAGTGCAACTTACACTGGTGTAAAATGATCCTGACCCATATATATATATATATATATATATATATATATATATATAGGGACAAGATATACTTATCACCAAAAATATTTACCATCTTTACAACCGATCTAATCATCGTTGATTTTCGTAAATCTAACTATTATAATTTATTAATAATTAATAATTAATTAATAAGTACAACCCAATAATTTCCAATAAAGTATAACCGTTAGATTGACGAAAATAAATGGTGATTAAGTTGGTTGTAAGAGTGGTAACCGATCTAATCATCGTTGATTTTCGTAAATCTAACTATTATAATTTATTAATAATTAATTAATAAGTACAACCCAATAATTTCCAATAAAGTATAACCGTTAGATTGACGAAAATAAATGGTGATTAAGTTGGTTGTAAGAGTGGTAATTTTTTTTTTTTTTTGGTACATTGCCAGGAGGTATCCCCATTCAACCTTCTCCGGGCACCATGCCCTCGGGGTACGGCCCGTTTGGGCTAGCCCCTCATTGTAACAGTGGATGCACTAAGCTTCGCAACCGGAGAAAGGACGAGACTATCCCCCAACCGAAGATTTTTTGGCTTATCCTCTGGCCCCAAAGATTTTCCAAGAAACTGCTTGAAGCAGGGTTTGATCCCTGCACCAAGCAATCCCTTGGGAGCTCAGCTGCCAACTGAGCTACCCTTGGGGGTTAGAGTGGTAAATTTTTTTGGTGGTAAATATATATATATATATATATATATATATATATATATATATATATTAAAAGTAAAGAAAATTATGTTTAATTAATATGCCATTAGGTTTGGTTATATTAAGTTGTGTGTTTAATTTCGACCATTGTATAAAATAATTTATATCATTTTATATGGAAAAAATTATATTTACAACTTATTTTCGTTTATAACTTCTTACAACTATATCTTAACTGTTGATTTCTGTAAATCAACGATTAAGATTTTCGCAAATCAAATTTATTAATTAATTATTAATTCACAATAAATGACAACCGTTGATTGGCGGAAATCTTAAATATATGATTGTAAAAGTTTATAAACTATTTGGATTGTAAATATAATCTCTCCCTTAAATAAAACAATAATATTTTGAATTATATTTAATAACTTTTTATATTCTCGCCTTTATGTTATAGAAAAGAGATAAAGGTAAAAAGTTCACCCAAATTTCATTGTTTAAATCTTTGTTAGGTTGTTGTTAAAAAAAAAAAAATCTTTGTTAGGGTAATAATAATCGAATATTTGTATCCTAGTTCAAATTCTAACCATCACCCCCACACTCCTCCATATTACCTGAGAGGGTTTTGTTGATTGATGAACAGTTTTGAAGTCAATTGAAATCGATATGAGTTTGGTGCCGAAGGAAACAATTGAAGTCATTGCACAGAGCATTGGCATCACCAATTTGAATTCCGATGTTGCTCTTGCTCTCGCTCCCGATCTCGAGTATCGAATTCGCGAAATCATGCAGGTACGCATAAACCTTCTTAGACCCTTTTCCGCAATTTTGAACTTTTTTTTATGTGCAATTTAATACCCCCTTTATGATATTTTCTGTTTCCATGCAATGACCCGGTTCATATCTGGTGCTCCTTTTTTAAAAAAGAATAAAAATTCAATGCCCAATTCGGTTTAATGATGAATCCCACTTTCATTCTTACAATAAATTCTTTTTATTTGAAAAAAAATTAAAATTTCATTAATGGGTGGTATACAAGTGAGGTGAAATATTTCATGAATTTAACAATGAGGATGGTTGGAATGGATGAGCGTGTTGGAAGGGTTATATAGGTTTATAGGATTTGATGTTGTTTATTTTGAATTGGACAGGAGTCCATAAAATGCATGCGCCACTCAAGGAGAACTTCTCTTACTGCAGATGATGTGGATAGTGCACTTGCATTAAGAAATTTAGAGGTAACTCATTTTACTTTTGGAATTCGGTTGCGTGTTGTAATTTTAAGACTTGTGTGAATTTGATGAGTTGGTTTTTCAAGGGAGCATCCATTTTTCTATCATGTAAACAATTTTCTTTTTTAATACTCACGTGGGAATGGTTAAGCTTCAACAGTGCACCTATGAAGAGGTGCTTATATGTCATTGGGAAGATGGTGTGTTCTAGCAGTATAAGCATGAGAGTTGCCCTTTTCACATCTAGATATTGCTTTGAAATTCTAAAGTTGGTGAACACTTCTGCTTCGCTTGAATTTTGTTTCTCCTCACCTTAAAATGTTGGGTGTCAAATCCAGTCTGCACCCAGCTTGTTTTTTATTTTATTTTATTCTGTTTGCTTTAATTTTGCTTATGTTTGTATTTATGTATCAGCCGATATATGGTTTCACCTCTAATGATCCTCTGCGGTTCAAAAGAGCTGTTGGACACAAGGATTTGTTCTACATTGATGACAAAGATGTGGATATTAAAGATGTAAGAAACTTCTAGGGATATTAAGACTACTATTCTGATATAAGTAGTTGAATTGCTTCCTTATATGATTTTCTCACATTTTCCCTTATTCAAATAGCTGATTGAAGCACCTTTACCAAAAGTACCCCTTGATACATCGGTTAACAGTCATTGGCTAGCTATTGAAGGTGTGCAACCTGCAATTCCTGAAAATGCTCCAATTGAAGGTATTCTTCTAGATTTCAGTTCAACTAAACTGAACTCACCTTCTTAGTACACTGTTTTTCTTCCAACCTCATTGCATAGTTCATATAATACTGAGGTCATTTTGTGCCTATCAAGCCTACCTTTATAGTATTAAAGATTATAACTACAAATGATCTTCTAGTCTGTATTTTTTATTTTGTTTATCTGCATGATTTTACTCCTTTTTCTTTCCAGTTACTATGAGATGCATGATAAAAAAATTGATTTTCCTTACATTGATTCTTTTGCTTGCACCATGTTACTTGCAGTACCCTCTGAGTTAAGAAAATGTGAATATAAGGATGATGGGATTTCGGTTGATATTAAATTACCTGTTAAACATGTAATAACAAGGGAGCTTCAGGTATATCCATTTGTGGTTTGTACTTTTTTTAGAAGTTTCATATTTTATGATCAACATTAATTAACTTTGTTTCTTCTACAGCTTTACTATGAAAAAATAACTGAGTTGACTCTAAATAAGCCAAGCTCTATTCCTTTTAGAAGAGCGTTGGTTAGCTTGGCAACGGACTCTGGACTCCATCCCTTGGTTCCTTATTTCACATGCTTTGTTGCTCATGAGGTAGCGACAAGTTTATATCGGCGATGTTTTTGGTTAAACTTCTTATACATTGTGTGAAATAGACTTTAACAACTCATTTTTATCCTTTTCCCATGTCATCAGGTGTCACGAAATTTGAATAATTTAACTGTTTTATTTGCCTTGATGCGCCTTGTCCGGAGCCTTTTGCAAAATTCTCACATTCACATAGAACTTTATGTACGTATGATGCTTTTGTAAATGTCTTTACATCTATAATTTATCAACTTTAGATGATTGTTGTCATCTATGACGACTCTCTTGAGGTTGTGAGCTTGTTCACTCATTTGTTGAATTCCGCCAGTTACATCAATTGATGCCACCTATCATTACTTGCGTTGTTGCAAAAAGGATAGGAAACAAACTATCTGATAATCACTGGGAGCTTAGGAACTTCAGTGCCAATCTTGTTGCTTCAGTATGCAAAAGGTGTGAACCATCTTTCAATTAAATGATAAGAGTATAAATTACTAAGGCAGAGCACATTTAATTATGATGTTAACTTAATACTAGCCCTTATGATTTCTCTGTATGGGCATTTGGTGCATATTTCTACCATGTGATTAGACTTAGATTGCTTCTGTAAAGTGGGGTTCCACTGTATAATTGTGAATGTTAATTGCTGGCTGTTGAGGCTGTTAGTTGTGCTATATTCTTATGGAACACTATATATATATGACTTTATGGTTTTACTGCATGGATTGTTTACATATCCTGTAGAACTGTAGATAATAGGAACGGCTACTTGATATGCACACCAAAATTTTCCTGGCTATTTTTTTTTTCATTATTTTTTTTTTCTTTTTCTTATTTTGTTTATAATGATGGCTACGAGATTGGAACCCATAACCCCATACGAATTATCTAAGCCCCTCACCACTTGCCCACTTTTAGTGACTTTTCCTAGCTAATTTAAGAATGCATATCCCTTGGTTTAAGAAGCATGAATGTTTTCTTACACCTTTTGTCATTGAACTGATGGGCTATATTAAATATAGTAAAATTAAAAGTATACAAGAATAAGAAATTTTGAGAATATCTGTATCATTTATATATTTTGAGTTCTTATGTTCCTAGTCTCTGGAAATTTACAGATATGGGCATATATATCACAATCTTCAGCCCCGGGTGACAAAGACATTTCTTCATTCTTTCTTGGACCCTACAAAAGCTCTAACTCAACACTATGGTGCCATTAAGGGGATAGCAGCTCTTGGATCAAGACTGGTATCTTCTGACCTTAGTATTTTAATATCAGCAGAGTAGATTGTTAGAAGATGGCTTGTGGTTGTGAAATTGGTTTCATATTAATTGTCTGATGGTCTCTTGCGGATTACAACTCAATGAAGACTGCATTAATTTTCCTTTTAAGATTAGATATGATTGTTTTCAATACAAGTATCAAATCTTTTTACCATCTGATTAGTTTCTGTGTACAACAACGAAAAATTACTCTTCCGGTTTTTTGGATATGGTGTCACTATGTCAAATTTTTGCATATGTTGTCCATGCATATTTCTTATTGCAGACTTGACTTGTTTTCTTTCTGTGGGGGTTCATGGGTGATTTTTATGCTTTGTGATTTAGAATCCCTAGTTGTATTGATATCAACCAATGCATAATGCTCCTTCACTTTGTGTAGGTTCGCTTGCTTATACTTCCAAATCTCGAGCCCTATTTGCATCTTCTTGAGCCAGAAATGCAACTTGAGAAGCAAAAGAATGAAATAAAGAGGCATGAGGCATGGCAAGTTTATGGGGCCTTGCTGGTGAGTTTTAATGTTTAAATTCCGAGTTTAATTTTGATGTATTGCCAGTGTTGAAGAATTTTACATTGTAATCCAATTATGTATTGCCACATTTAATGCGTGCGGCAACAAGTCATTTTGATTACAAGAGATCATTATATAAGATAGGTACAAAACATTGACTGTGCGTTCATATTAAATTCTTCAATTATATAGAATACCCAGTTTTGATTATGCATAAACTTATTCGTTTCCCCTGCACATACCTTTAGCTAATTACTGATGTCATAAACCTTTCAGTGTGCAGTAGGCCAATGCATGCATGAAAAGGTCAAAATATTCAGCAGTTTGTTCTCTCCTCCAACTCGTGCTACTTCGAGAGGCAAGGGAAAAGCCATGATTGCAATGCCAAGTATGACTTTATTTTGCTACATTGAGAATTAATTGATGTGTATAAAAGAATAGATGCCCGCTCCTGAATGGGGTGTATTTGATTAATTTTTATATGCATGCCTTAGGATGACTGCTGTATGATTTGGCTTGCTTTCTCTTGAAATTAATTTTTAATCCTAACAAGAAACACAACTAAAAAGGTTATAAATATTCATGGAAGTTGCATTGAAAGCATGAGTTTCTGAATGTGATTCCCAACTTTTGCTTTAGATAACTAAAATGGTTCCCAACTTACACTTACCATGTGACATTTAATTTTAGGTTCTGATAGTTATACTCTATCTTTTCTTTCCAATTAATGAAGGTAAACGCAAGGCCAGCGCAGACAATCTAATGCAGCAGCAACAACCTCCCATGAAGAAAATTGCAATAGATGGTTCTGGAATTGTGGTACCAATGAATTCAATGTCTGTTGAAATGCAAGGGTCAACAGGTGGATTCTCCACTATGACGGGGGTTTCGAATGTTGGCATGTCATCAATGAGTCGTCAATTAAACAACGATAACATGCCAGGGAGAGAGGTTGGAGGTCAACAATGGAAGGCATCTACCATTCTTGCCCAAGCTTGGAAGGATGACATGGATGCAGGACATTTGTTGTCATCAGTGATTGAATTATTTGGTGAAAGTGTGTTATCATTTATTCCAAAACCTGAAGCATGTATATTTTTGTAACATTGAGTTACACTACTGGTATTTGTTTTGCATTTTGGAGTGCATGTAAATTTTTTATGCATCTTGTGTTACTTTTGCTGAAGTATTTTTCATAGGTTAGAATAGAAACCTGGATTTAATCACTCAGGGAAAATCTGTCTAAGCTATTGACTTTTTGTCTTAGATTATTTATTTTGCATAGATTGCATAGATTGTAATATCTTTTGACTATATTGGTATTAGTGCACTCGACAATCAAATAACATGGATTATTACCAAATTCAAGCTTTTCTTTCAAATTGTATTATTATTCTTTCTGATTTAATTTAACTTTAAAGATACAATTTCTATATGAATAAAAGTTGCATTGTTGTGTATTTAAATATTTATTTATTTAATAAGATATAAATAAAAATAAGCTGAGCATATGTTTTATAAAACATCTAGCATTGAGGAATAGCTAAAAGAAGAATATGATGGTTTTGTAAACTGTTTAAATTTCTAAAAGTATTTGAAAAGCACAATTATTTGAATGATTTTAAAAATGTTGATTGAATATATCATATGAAAACACTTGAAAAGAGCAAAAATACTCTTTGAATGATTTGGTAATTGTTGATTGCCTGTATCACATAAGTTATGCTAATATTATGATTTCTTATGCCAACACACAAATTTATCTTTGTGTTATGAATTACGTTTATGAAGAACTATGGAGGAAACTTTTTTCAAAACAATGCAACTAACAATATTAGGTGTTTAATCTTAGGGAAAAAGAATTCTTATCTTGTAAGAGAGCTCTCTTCTCATGTTAGTGAAAGTTTGTTTTGCGTGCAATAATTTTTTTTGTTTTCTTTATTTTTTATGTGTGGGCTCCACCATAAATTTAAGTGTGTAAGAGATTTCCTCCTCTCTAATAGCATGAGAGAAAAACATTGCCCTTAATCTTAATATACCGTGACTTATTTATAAATGAGAAGTTAAGTTTGTTATTAATTTTTTCTAAACGGAGTCTAAAATTAATGTAAGTGAAAGTATTATGTAACTAGGAGCCTATTGTATAGTTAGGGATAAGATATTCTATCTATTTTTTTTTTCATGCTTACTTTACTTACTCATCTCCCTGTTAGATCAATATCTTAATTAATTTTCATTTTTTTCCCTTCTCTAGATTCTTATCCAATGGTATTGGAGATGAGTAAATATAAGAAAAAATAAACATAATATCTTATTTCGTATGATTATATCTTAGAATAATCCACATGAACGCATTAAACATTATGCCTTATATAAACTGATTTGAGTTCAATTTAGCATTTGAAATTTTTTTAAGTCTTATTGAATAATTGTAGTTTTTATATTATGTTACGTGGTTCCCTTTGTTATATTCCTTATTATTTGTGCAAGTTGTATATATTTCATATATATATTTTTTTCATATTTTTTTTTTTAAATAATCATTTTTATTATTTTCTGTACCTTGCGATAATTAATGGACTATAAAGGGAGGAACAAATTACAAATTTTTTTGCGTTGATTTTTTTTTTTGGTAATCTTTTTGCGTTGAATATTTTAAATATATTTTGAAAATAACAAGACCGAATCCATAATTTTTTTAATAAAAAGAAATAGAAAAGCCCTTACTTCAACATACCCCTTTAATTTCTTTTTCTTTTTATTTCTTTAAATTTTCAATTTTACTTGTGAATTATTATTAACAAATGCTAACAATTTAAATTTATTAAAAATTTATAACAATTAATCTATAAAATGCTAATATTACCAGTGTTTAGAAGAAAAAAATTGAAAGTTGTCTACTTTTTTTCTTAGTTTAATAATTAAAAATCAATGTGAATCGACATTTTTGTATTCAATCAATAATTTTTTTATGTTTTGATACTTTCACAATATACAAGTGCTCAACTAGTATAATTTAATTTTGTATTTTCCTATATTTTAAATAAAAAGTATTTAAGATATGAATTATACTTAAATAGATAAAATAAAAATGAAAAAAAGAAAAGGTATAAAACAAAATAAGAACGTTACATAACCAGCTGGTTCAGCTTCTATATATATTGGACCTTCGTCATGTGGTTCACTCACAACACAAGTAACAGAAAAATCTTAAAGCTTTCAAGAAACCAAACAAACTCCAACTGTGTTATTGTCAACAATGGCATACGACAACAACGTTGATCTCTGTACTCATTTATCACTTGCTAGGTGTCTTTGTAATACAATGGTGTGTTCCCATTTGTCACTTGGTAAGTGTCATTGCAACACAACCAATGAAGATGTCTCTGTTTCTTTAACCAAGAAGAGGAAGATTTCTGAAGAAACCTCTGTCGCGCTGCAAGAAAGAAGGTTTGTGGAGAGAGAAGTTGGGGTTACTCAACCGATTTGATGTTTTGTGATGATCCCTGAAAGATCAAGAAAGTCCTCAATTGCAGTGATCTTGACAACATGAGCAGGCTCTTGCTCCCTAAAGATTTGGCTGAGAATTTGGTGGTGCCGGTGTTGGATGGTGATGTTGAAAAAGGTGTTCAAGTTGAGATTTGGGATGTGGACACTGCCTCCATTCATTCTTTAGTTTTTAAGAAATGGGTTTCTTCAAGAAGCTATGTTTTCATTGGGAATTGAGTTAAAGATTTTGTATCAAGAAGAGGCTTAAAGAAAGGGGATGAGATATGCCTTCATTGAGATCCATACAATAATCGCTTTGATTTTTATGTTCTTGATGCCATTTAGCATTGATAGCAATAATAAGATTCCTTTTGTAGGGAGGGTGTACTAATATTTTCTCTTGTTCTTATTGATTTGTGCAATTTGAATTTTTTTGATTGTAAGAGTAATCTGAATATATGGTTTAAATTTGTTAAATGTTATGGTTTGCAAATTTGAATTGCAATTAGAATTGCTCCCATAAGAAAATTAATCAAATAACAGAACCAGTGCCAACTAAGAAATATGTCTTGAATTTTATGTAGAACTGGTTGCGTACATAAAATTACAAATAGCAATAATAGAATGGTCGCTATGTTGATTTTGTAGAACTGGTTGCTGACTTATGCCTTGAATATAATGGGCAAAAATATTAAAATAATATTTTTTAATTAAATAATTACGCATTTATTGTAGTTTTGAAAAAAATTACGGATCTATTGCTCACTGTGACGCCCCATTGAGGCGTCTCACCCTAAGGGGAAGACGCCCAAATGGGACGTCTCTCATGATGTGTTGACACGTGTCACTTTTTTTTCCAAAAAAAAAAAAATTAATTTAATCATAAAACTTCTAAAGGTCATAACTTTTGACTCGAGTATCCAAATCAGGTAATTCTTTATTTGATTCCACATAACTTTTTGAGATCTACGCAATGAAATCTCATTTGACATATTTTATTTATCACAAATACAATTTTAATTTGCAAGAATGGTATTATAAGAGCGGTTAAACCCAGAAGCCTCTGAGTTCTGGATTTGTGATTTAATATAAAAAAATAAATAAAATTTTGATTTGTGATTTAAATTTTTTTATAATAATTTTTTTATTATAACAAAAATTTGGTTTGTGATTTAAATTCAAAATAAAAATAAAAATTATTATTAATAAAGAAAACAAAATAAAGATTTGATTTGTGATTTAAACTAAAAAATCAATTTGAAAAATATGTAGAAATAAAGGAAATAATTAAATAAATATTCTAAAATTCTAAGGAAGAAGAATATTATTTTTAAAATTAATGATTAATGCTATAAGCTTCTGGGTTATTATTCGTGGTCTGAAATTAATGATGGCTTATGAATGTTTTTCAAAAATAAAATTACTTAAATTAGGCGTGATTGCCTCTTGATTGAAACCCAATTTAGACGTGATTGGTGATGTGTTAGGTTTTGACAGGTGTTGACACATATCACATTTTTAAACTCAGAAGCCTCTGAGTCCTGCGTTTGTGATTTAATACAAAAAATAAATCAAGATTTGATGTGTGATTTAAATTAAAAAATAAATTTCTTATTTTTATTATAAAAAAATTTGGTTTGTGATTTAAATTAAAAGTAACAATTATTAGTAATAAGGATAACAAAATAAAGATTTGATTTGTGATTTAATCTCAAAAATCAATTTGAAAAGTCTGTATTAATAAAGGAAATAATTAAATAAATATTCTAAATATCTAAGGAAGAAGGATTACCTGATTTAAATTTAAATTATGTTGGTGAGAAATAAAATATATCAAATGACATGTCATTGAGTAGATCTCGAAAAGTTATGTGAAATCAAAAAAAGAATTACCTGATTTGGATACTCGAGTCAAAAGTTATGGCATTTAGAAATTTTATAATTAAATTAATTTTTTTTTTGGAAAAAAAGTGACACATGTCAACACCTCATGAGAGACGCCCCATTTAGGCGTCTTCCCCTTAGGGTAAGACGCCTCAATGGGGCGTCACATGTGACGCTCAAGAAAGGCGTCACAGTGTGCAATAGATGCGTAATATTTCTCAAAACTGCAATAAATGCGTAATTATTTAATTAAAAAATATTATTTTAATTTTTTTGCCGAATATAATGTGGTTAGGTGTGTATTCTACGCAATTACATGTAGCAATTGAACAAATAGTACTTTTTCTGATAAATTAATGCATAGTGTGAAAATAAAAAATATTTGATTTACATCCTTGTGCAATTACAAAATTTCGATTTATCAAAGTATCAATATTAATTATTATTTTTATCGTTTTCTTACAGGGTGTCAAAAGATAACCAAACTGAGTTGTTAAGAGCAAATGATGCATCCAAGGAACTGATTGATTTATATTCAAAACTCTCTTCTTGATGAAGGCCAATCCTGTTATCAATCCTAAAAGGCATAAAGAACAGAAAAATTAAAGCGATTTTTGTATGGATCCCAATGAAGGCCAATCTCATCCCCTTTCTTTAAGCCTCTTCTTGATACAAAATCTTTAACCCAATTTCCAATGAAAACATAGCTTCTTGAAGAAACCCATTTCTTGAAAATTAAAGAATGAATAGAGGTAGTGTTTACATCCCAAATCTCAACTTGAACACCTCTTTCAACGTCTCCATCCAACACCGGCACCACCAAATTCTCAGCAAAATCTTTAGGGAGCAAGAGCCTCCTCATGTTGCCAAGATCACTGCCATTGAGGACTTTCTTGATCTTCCAAGGGTCATCATAAAGCATCAAATCCAAAGAGTAACCCCAACTTCTCTCTACACACACCTTCTTTTTTGCAGCAACATGAGTTTCTTCAGAAATCTTCCTCTTCTTGGTTAAAGAAACAGAGACATCATCAGCGTTGTATGCCATTACTGAGAGGTTTTGGTTTTGGTGAATTGGGTTTTGTGAATTGGGTTTTGGTTTCTTGAAAGCTACGAATGTTTTTCGGTTGTTTTTCTCTTACCGATCAATATATATAGAAGCTGCCACTTCACTTTAAATGTTTATTCTGCTTTATAATTTTAATATTTTTTTATTTTATTTTCTATCTATATAGATATAATTCTTATTTTAGATAATTCTTATTCAAAATAAAGGAAAAATAAAAATTTAAATTGAGGACTTGAGCATTTGTAGTTTTGTGAAGATATCAAAACATAAAAAAATATTGACTGATTATAAAAATATTAATTTACGTTGATATTTAATTATTAAACTATGAAAAATTGTAAGCAACTTTCACTTTTTTTTCCCTAAACAGTTATTATGCCGCCTCATTTAAATATTTATTCTGGTTACATATAAATAAATTTAAATTGTTAACATTAGCTAATAATAATAATAATATTGGAAATGGAAGAATACTTACAATTCACAAGTAAAATTATTTTTTTTTGAAAATTTAAAGAATTAAAAGGAATTTAAAAAAAAATTAAAGACAGGTGTTGAAAATAAGTCATGGTGTCCTAAGATTAAACACCTATTATTTTTGGAAATGGATCCTCTGATGTGAGAAAAAACATGACATGGTCATGTGAGAAGATCACAACCATATAAAGTTAAATCAATGGTTATGATTTTGTAACTACCTATTTTTCTATTTTCTCTCTCTCCTCTTTTATTACCATTGATTCACCTTTGTATGGTTATGATTTCCCATTTTACCATGTCATGTGATTTTTCACATCAGAGGATCCGGATCCATTATTTTTAGTTGCGTTGTTTTGACAAAAAAATCTCCTACAATCGTTCATAAACATAATCAATAACACGTACACAAAAAAAAAAAAATTGTGTGTGTTAGCATAAAAAATCACAAGTTTAAGATAATTCACGTGATAAATCGGATCAACAATGACTATGCTTATTGTGTGGTTAGAGATAAGATATTCTATTTATTTTTTTCATGCCTACTTTACATACTCATCTCCCACACTATTAGAGCAGAATCTCAAGTAACTTTCATTTTTTTCTCCCTCCTCTGAAAATTCTTATCCAATGCTGTTAGAGATGAGTAGCTATGAAAAAAATAAACATAATATCTTATCCCGAATAATTATATCTTTGATTAAACTTTATGCCTTATATAAACTGATTTGAGTTCAATTTAGCATTTGAAAATTTTTAAGTCTTATTGAATAATTGTAGTTTTTATATTGTTACATGGCTCCCTTTATTATATTCCTTATTATTTGTGCAAGTTGTATATTATTTCATATATTCTTTTTCAAATAATCATTTTTATTATTTGCTGTACCTTGCGATAAATTAATGGACTATAAAGGGAGGAACAAATTAGAAATTTTTTTGCGTTGATTTAACCATAGAAAAGTTATGAATAGTTTAAATATATTTTGAAAATAACAAGACCGAATCCATTACTTTTTTAATAAAAAGAAATAGCAAAAGCCCTTAATTCAACACACCCCTTTAATTTCTTTTTCTTTTTATTTCTTTAAATTTTCAATTTTACATGTGAATTATTATTATTATTAGCAAATGCTAACAATTTAAATTTATTAATAATTTGTAACAATTAATCTAGAAAATGCTAATATTACCAGTGTAGAGAAGAAAAAAATCGAAAGTTGTGTACTGTTTCTCTTAGTTTAATAATTAAAAATCAATGTGAATCGATATTTTTATAATCAATCAAGAATTTTTTTTGTTTTGATACTTTCACAATATACAAGTGCTCAACTCGTATAATTTAATTTTGTATTTTCCTATATTTTAAATAAAAATTATTTAAGATATGAATTATACTTAAACAGATAAAATAAAAACAAAAAAAAGAAAAGGTATAAAACAGAATAAGAACGTTACATAACTAGCTGGTCCAGCAAGTGTAACAGCCCCAAACCCTGTTGCATGATATTGTCCGCTTTGCCTCGCGCACAAGCACCGTCGAGCTCACGGTTTTGTTTCTTGGGACACCCCACAAAAGACCTCACACTAGAAGAGGTATCCACACCCTTATAAGGCATGCTTCGTTCCCCTCTCCAACCGATGTGGGACATTACATCCTCCCCCACTGGGAATACAGCGTCCCCGCTGTACACACCGGTCCAGGGCCAGGCGCTGATACCATAAATGTAACAGCCCCAAACCCTGTAGCATGATATTGTCCGCTTTGCCCCGCGCACAAGCACCGTCGAGCTCACGGTTTTGTTTC